TGGAAAGGAAGTCAATTTCATGAAAATAATCTAGCCCATTATTAAAAAGAAACAGGCAAACCAGTACTTCCAACATTAGGAGGTGTATGTGTACATGTGTGGGGGCAAGGTGCATGCATGACTGCGTGTGATTCTGTGTGTACTACCTAGCAAAAAAGGAAACAAACATATCAAAGTAACATCTCTAGGACTAACTGGAATTTGGTGCAAACCTGAAGTTGATTACATATAATGTGCATATATACACCAAACCCAAGAGTACCACATGAAAAAAAATCTAAATCTACACGGTGAAAAATCAGAAATTTAAATGCTATGTTAGAATAAAGTAAATCAGAAACATGGGGAGAATCAAAAGTAATTTGTAGGCAATATTATTTTGTACACAGATAGCCTGATAGAATCTACTTTAAAACTGTAAGGAAAAACAAATTCAGTAAGGTGGCAGATACAAGATCTATGGAAAAATGAGTTATAACCTATGGATTTACAATCAGTATTTGAAATTTAGGGCAAGAAAACAATCCTGCTCATTAGAGCGTCAAAAAATATTCAGAGATAAATCAACAAATTGAAAGTACAAAACACTGTTTAGAAGGATATGAAAGATTTAAAGAAACTGGAAAACATTCCAATTAATGGAAGAAGAAGCTTTAAGGGATAAACCGATCCCCACATGCTCATCCCCTAGTAGAGAACTACACCTGAGGTCCTCAGCAGACTCCTCTGCAGAAACTGTCAAGCTGATGCTAACATCTGTATGGAATTGACTGAGGAATAAAAGACCCTGAAAAGGAGAACAGCAAAGTCAAAAGTTACTGCAAAGAAACGGCAGTCAAGACAGAGAAGCAGAGCAGAAGATCCGGAAGTTAGTCCAAATGCCTGTGACTGGAAGGTTGTCTGCACGAGTGCTGAGTCCTCGATGAGGAAAACGTGATCTCAGCAGAGTAGCCAGAACAGCAGGATGTCACAAATAGAAGCATAAAGTATGAAGTGGTCTCTTCTTCATTCACGTCATCTAAATAAGTGGAAAGTGGGCTGATTGTAAAGATATGCACTATGACAACCAAACTCTTGAAGTGGGAATAGTCAATGATGCAGTTCCTTGTAAAGGTCTGGCAACTATTCAAAACATCAGTAAGCAAAGGGCCCAGAGCCTTCAGAGATCTTGAGAAATTAAAAATACATGCACACATAGGAATATGCAAGTGAACAGTTACAGAAGGTGGATTACAAACATTAAAAAATGAACAGATAAACAAGATGTGACATGCTTAATAATGGCTGCAAATGGGTACCTAGAAAGGCTTATCTCACATTTCCTGGTGTCAGGTTCTTAGTTGACCTTGAACTTAAGATCCTACTGCTTCAGCTTCCCCAGTGATGGTACCGCCATGTACAGCACACCTCAGATCTTGCGAACATGAGGATCACTGGTGCACTGTACACATTTTCACACATAAAAATGTATTTATGCTATTGTGTGTGTGTGCGCATGCCAAGTGCACACACATACGGAGGCTGCCAAGGTTGACACAGGATGTTTTCCTCAATTACTCTTCACACTCATTCACCTCCCATCTCCTCCCTTTCAGCATACCACATACAGGTGTGTGTGGCTACACTTGAATCTTTTTTCTAACATGGAATCTAAAGAGTCAAGCTCAGTTTCTCATGCTTGGCACTGGCACTGCTGTTTTAAGTTGTCAATTAAATGGTCACAGCAACCATAACGTAAATAGCTTTCTGCCTGTAAAATTTCTATACATATATAAGAACTGTGGGGCAGGACCTATAGTTTTTTGGTTCTTATAAGTGATGTAATGTGAACACAACTCTGAGGTAGACAAGGAAGGATGGTATTGCTGCCTCAGACTTACACACAGCTTAACTGTATTCATCAATGGCTGCCTTGTCTGATGCAAAACATCAGAAAGGTAACTGTCTAGGAACTAGCGACAAACCACTGCTAGGCCTTCCAAACCAGCTGAGCAGCCAGGACTCCAAACATGCCCTCATGGTCAGTGTCTACATTCTGAATGTTGTAGCTACACTGCTGGGTAGTTAGTTTATCAACCTAAACTCAAAGGACAGCCTGAAGTCTCTTCTGCAGCTGGTATGTCATGCTAGTGAAAGGAAACCTCTTACACTGAACCCATAAGTGCTGTACTTAATAGAAGGACCCAGAGTTCTCAGGTAACCTCACACCTGCCTATATATGCATGACCAAATCTAAGCCCACAGAACCTTCAACTCATTTCCACAACAGAGCAGGTCCTCGTGAGATTTTCAAGCACAGGACCTCCAACCAATGGCACATTTCTTTCTTTAAAGGTAGTGACATTTTTATTAGTAGTACAGTCACTGCATGCCTGTGGAGGTCAGAGGACAACTTGCAGGAGTTGGTTCTCCCTTTCTACTATGTGGGTCCTGGAGGCTGAACGCAGGTCATACATAAGGCTTGATCCTTTACCTACTGAGTCATCTTGCCTGCCCCAGGTGGTGGCTTTAAATTAACATTTGTTTTATAGTCTTGGGTTTGAGTCTCTCAGCGCTCTGTTCACTACTATTATCTGAGCTAGAACTTCTCCAATCCCTTTTATTTCTCCTGCCCACAATGGGCGACTGTCCTACCACCTGATTTTGGTGGGCTGTACTCAGAATCAGATGAACAAACACAACATAGAGTTCTATGAAACCTGGAGTGCCTCCTGCCACCCTGGGCTCAAAGTGGAATGTGAATCTAAGCTGACACTTAGCTGAGGAGCAGACAAGGGAGGACAGGATGCAGAGCTGAACTAAGCTCTATGATCAAGTAGGCACCGTGTTAGCATAACAGAATAATTCAGCCAGGCTCCTCTGGCTTTTTGTTCACCTTCATTACCCCCTTCCCCCATAAGCTCCCCAGGCACGACCCCTAAAGCTCTTTTTTACACTGCTCTCTTCTCAGGAAGCAGTGAGAGAATACAACTAACCTCTCACCTGGGAGTCTCAGCACCAGGAGCCTGGCTGGCAACACCTGTCAACTCTGACACATGCAAAACTGCACCTGCTTCCTGCAGCATTCTGCAGCAAGGTAGGTCCAGACACCCAACCAAGCGCAAGCTTGGAAAGATTGCACCACAGCTGCTGAAAAAAAGCAAGCTGTGCCACACTGTTACCTCTGTGGTCAGGGAACAAGTAGAAAAAGGAGGAAAAGGAAAAGAACCAGAAACTTCTGGAAGGAGATAATTACCCTTCATATGAAATGCACAGAAATTTAATGCCATTTTTCTTGACTTTCTTTTTTAGGGTATGACTGCAGAAAATCAAATTACAAGGTCATCATTACATCCTAGATTTATTACAACTGACCTGCAGGCAAAGGGTAGACTATTCCATAAACATGTGGATTCCATGGCTATGTCTTAAATAGAGGAAGGATTCAAACAAGAATACAGGATAAAATATTCCAAAGCTCCAAGAAGCAGTTATGTTACTGAGCTACATTTTTACGGACAAATAAGGCAAAATCCCTGCACATCAGCTTTTTTGATATTTTTATATACTTTCATATGGTACAAGAGAAAAATAACCAGAGCTCACAATGTACAGTTCTTTCACTATTTTCACAGCTTGTGAACACTATACACCCTTTTTGTTTTAATAAAGATACATTGTAATAAACTCCTTGCCCTTAAGTTTATAGTTTATAATAATCTATGATTAATACACTAAAATTGCCTTTTTTATGTGGTCACCCACACAGCAGAAAGTGAGATAGCTCCTGGACAGTCAGAATTGCTTTGATCTCCATTTGCATAATGGCAGAGTGAGGCTATACTGAGCCAGACAGGAAGTTGACAGCAGAGAAACAAATTCCTCTTGAGTCCTGGGAGCAATGGAGGATGATGGCTTGGTACAACTTAAGGAAGACATAGAATAATGTAATAATGTCTCCTAGTGAAACTCAGAGAATCTAAGGGTTAAGGGCTCAGGAGTAGAAAATGGGGAAAACAGGCAAGCAGACCAAGAGATAAACCATTTTTAAATTCTGCAATGAATAGGGATGTAACTTTGAACAGCACCATTCTCCCTGTATTGTTTTATAATATTTATGAGTGCCACGCTGGGAGACATAGCAGTACCTACCAGTGCTTGATTCTGCAAGGGCATCACCTGTATCTCAGGCCAACTTGTAGTGCTGACTAACTGCTATGCAGAGCCTGATGCTCAGTGCCTGGCTAATGGGTAAGTGAAGACAAGCAGCAGCACACGAGGTGAAGGGGCTTTCTTTACACTTTGCCTTCTTGTGGGGCAGAGGTGGGTAAAATCCACATCCAAGGGAGATAATGAACTGGTAGAGGCCCCAACAGGTGGCATGCCTATCTGAAAGGCTATCATTTCAGACCTTCATTCTGCTCAAATGTGCCTCTCTAACAGATTGCCTCTTTTTACCTAGCATATCAACTGAGCCTGGCTGTCTCAGCTTTTCAAGCGTTCCAGCACACAAGAGAGATTCAGGGTTACAAATCCTTGGTAAGTAGCATCCCTGGTAATGTCAGAGTTCCAAATGTAAGAAACAAGCAAAATACTGGATTGAGCAAAAGTCACGTGCTAACAACAGTTTGTGAGGAAGGAAAAGAAATAGAAACTGAAGACCTGGCCCATGATGGCAAGAAGCAAAGAATTGTGATTTGGTGTTTTGCTGCCTTCAGGAAATCATCTAATCATCAAGGCACATTGCTACTAGTTACTTCTCCCTGTTAGTAAGTTACAATGGCTCAAGTACCGGGCTTGGGGCCAAGGGAAAATCTATAGCTGCTACAAACTGTTCTGGAGAAGATAACAGAATCAAAAACATCTGTAAACTTTGCCTTCAGTACTGTTTCCTTCGTTCAGTTCTGGCAGTTGGTGGCAGGCAGGGCAACAAGTTGGCAGCACCCTTCTATGACAAGTGGCAGACTCCTGTACCTTTCCAGTGAAGAGCAGGGCTGGAAAAGGACAAAGAACACATTCTGTCCCGTCTCAGTGTTTTAATGTTCACCTCTCTGAAAGCAACATGGTTTTTGGTAAAGATAGATTCATTCTAATTTAACATGATATTTTGAACAGGAAATCTGGCTGAGCACATCAATTCCCAAACATCAACTGTGACTGTAAAGCAACAGAATATCAGATCAGGAAATCTATTGCACTTGGTGAAAAAAAAGGAAATCCCTCCTTTGTCTCCCAGCTCCGGAAGGCAATGTGTCTCACTGGCTGTGCAAACTCTTCTCACTCAAGCCCAAGTCTCTATGTTCAGACATAGTACATCCATTACTGTGTCCTTCCAGGCTTTGGAAGTCTGACAAAACACCATTCCAGTAGCTGTGTCTCCAGGTTTTGAGTCTAGAAATGAATTTAAGGTGTGATCTAATCACGGTCAACAACTTGATCGTACTGACTTCCACACGTCATGAATATGTTCATCACAAAAGAGCAGGATGAGGTCTCTGACCAGCACTAACACTGTGATCAGTCAGGTATTACAGGGATGCACATTCTAGGTGACAGAAGTATACAGACATGATGGAAACGAACACCAATCTTATTGCACATGGTGTCTGGGCGAGCAATAAAAACACTGTGATACAGGATGAAAACTCTTTACGTCTTGCTTCTTCTCAGCCCTTTTTTCTAAAGTCTGATGTAGCAGCAGTATCAGTCGACATACATGGGAGAGCTGGGAGTAGCTGGCATCTGATCCAGGATTTTACAAACATAGCATGCGACCTCAACAGTACGTTCTTCATACATCAAAATAAAGGGATGTTTCTGCAAAAAAATTGAACAGAAAAAAGCATCAAACATTTATATCAGAGCCCTAACTCAACCTTTCTCAGTTTCTATACAGCACAGAACTACAAGTTCCCAACCACATACAGCTTCAGTATATCATAGAAGAGGCACTGATCACATGAACACCCTCGATGTGACATACTGGGTTACCATCTGGAGGCTCCACCATGGCAGTGAGTCTCAAAATCTACCTGCATATAGAAAGTATTCACTGAGGAAGAAAATGGAGTTCTTGGTTCCTCAGCATGCAGTCACACCATATGAAAGCCAAGAACTACAGGAATCTCAGTCATGCCTCTTAGGACACCAGAGAAAAACAAGTCTCCCCATCCTCCATTGGTAGCTCAAAGATCTTCCAAAGGGTTTTTCAGTTTCAAACCTTCTAATTTCTACTCAAAAAGAGGCCAAAAGATACTTTCCCTGTGCTCTCCAGAGTGCATAGCCTACTACACCAACCCCCCTCTTTCGTTTCTATCACTATAAACAACAATTTCTAATTTCTCTGGTGATAGCACTGAGATTATCTTTACAGTCATTGCTGGGTTGACACAACCTGGCTTAACAGTCTTGGAAAGCCCTAAATGTGATAAGCAATCTAATCTTTTCTTAAAACATTCCCACATCACAGGACCACAGACAATACTCTCTTCTCTGCTCAGAGGAAAGCCAAACAAAGGAGACTGCTTATCATGAGATGCATGAGAACTTCTCAAAGATATGTGAATTGCCAGAATGATGTACATTAGCAGAGGGACAGCAATAAATAATGAATAAAATTTCCACTAATTTTTTCTTACAGAAGAGGTACATATATTTAAGACTATGCAATGATATGCTTTAGGAGAATTTTCCAAATTCTTTTTATGAGGAATGAACTAATAAATTACAAGAAAAATTGTAGCCACCAAGTTTCCTGTCTAAAGCCTGTTGTCTGAAACACTCTGCAAGGACAAGCCTCTCCTTGGAGGCACATGCTGCTTACTGAACCATGGACTTACAGGTCCATACTCACCAGAAGCTCTTTATACTTTGGCCTTTTGGATTCGTCCTTCGTAAGGCTAAAATAACATAAAAGTAATGGTGTTAAGATGAAGTCACATTGACTCAATTATTTTGTTTTTTACAGATGAAAAGCAGGACCAGGTCAAGGTCATCTTTGGCCAAATAGAAAGTTCAAGGCCAGCCTGGTTATATAAGGCTTTTTAAGCTCTTATGAGGACAGTACAGAAATCCTTCAATTGTAGATATAATGATCTAGACAGTGATTCTGACATACGTAAGAAACAAAAAACATGGGATACATATTCACCACTGCTACCTACTGTGGCACAGAGGCAAACAAGGAGAAAATGTAACATAATCACCACAAGCACATATAAAATAAAACCAAAGAGGAGGTCTAGGGATCAAAACAAAGTAGAGCTGGGGAAATGACTAAGTGGGGGAAAGAACTTTCCTGAAAGCCTGATGCCTTAAATTCAAATCTCTAAAACCCAAGTAAAAAGCTATGTGCAGAAGCTTGCCATGTGCAATCCCTATACTCCCAAGAAATGGGAGACAGAGACAGTTTGTGGACCAGCCAGCCTGGAGTACACAGCACAGTGGCAGAAACAAGAGATCCCACCTCACGAAGCAAGGCAAAAAGTGAGAATGAACTCCTAAAAGTTGTTCTCTGATCTCTACATCTGTTGGCAGCACACAACACATAAAATAAAATTTTAAAAATAAAGAGTCTGTAATATACATTAGATTCTTTAAAGCAAATATTCATTAAAATGGAATATACAGAATGGCCAAGTTTATGGAATTAGACAAGTGCATATAATATGTGCAAATTGGTAAACAACAGACTGTTTTTCAGTGACGAGAGGGAACCAGTGTCAACTGTCATCCACAAGCTTTCTTCTATCTAGTTCTTGAGCCATTATTTTCCCCTTTAAAAGATCACTATCAGCAGAATTTGGTCAGAGAAGATGAAAGAGAGTAGAAAACTCTAGTCAACAATTGTTTTCTCATTATTCAGAAAGAGGACAGTGTTAGACCCTGCAATAGAAGCTTTATAAAATACAGGGTACAGAGAAATGGCATTCCTATAAAACAAAAGCATGCTCAAGAGTAAATAAGGCATCTTTAAATCATGCTGAATAAAATGAGCAATTACCAAACTTTTTAAAGGCTAACCTAAAAATGCTACTTAAAACAGAAGACAACACTACCAACTATGTCTATATACATTTATTCTTTGCTAGTGTTCTGCATATATGTATGCATGCACATGTGTGTGGATACATGTGCATAATTTGTATGTGGAGGGCAGAGATTGGCATATTTCTTCCTCAATCATTCTTTACTTCATTTATTGAGGAAAGACCCCTCTCTGAATCCAGAGCTCACTGAATCTGTTGTCCAGTTAGCTAATTTGTCCTGTCTCCACATAGAAGTGCTGGCACTACAAGCAGGCCATCTTGCCCATATGGCTTTTAATGGGTTCTGGGGATTAGAGAGTTCCAGTTCTCCTATCTACAAAGCAAGTGCTTCATCCAGTGAGCCATCTCCCTAGCCCTACATACATTTACTCTCAGGTGCCATGTACATATAAAAGATCTGACACAGTAGACAATTTAACAGGCATGGAGTTCATGCCTCCTTTGGAATAGGATTAGAAAGAGCCAATATGTAAATTTTAACCAATTAAGTTTTGGGCTTGACCTTACTACTGATACCCACACTATTCTCTAGGTTTTATCAGAGTAGAGATCCAAGCCTTAAAGTCTGGTCTCATGAGTTACTGAATAGTAAAAACATCCAGGTGATCCTGGCATAATCTTATTATGATAAGATTATCAGTCTCATCTAGGCATTTAACCTGGTAACTCATACCAGGAACTGTGATCTGGAGGCAACTATTTCACCACCACCTACAGCTGCTTTTCACCAATACCTATGTAGAATAAGAGGGCAATGTCTCTTCAGGCTGGCTGGAATCTCCACACTGTAGTAATCCATAGTCCTAGCTGGGGTAATGTAACAAAGGACTTCTTTTCCAATACAAAGCATCCATGTAATTGAGATTAAGTTGCCCAAATGGACTATTCTGCCACATGTGTCTGAATATTAGCAAATAAAGTACTTACCACAAGTTGACAAAGTTGATGAAACTGGGGGAGAATTCCCTTTCTTCGGAATTACTTAGTTGTGGAGGGTCTCCTTTCACCACTTGTGTTAGCTGATCAAACACACTATTCCACTTTGGATAAGGAAACCGGCCTGTGGCCAACTCGTACTAAAGAGAACAAAAAGGAAACAGAAAGATACCAAGCATGATTTACTACTCCCTACTGGAAGAGTGATGCCAATCCAAACACCCAGCAAAACTCTTTAAAGCCCTCCCTCAAACTCTGTCAGGTTAGGGAGGAATGCCTGGATCATGAGGCTAAGTAAAGGACATGAATGTAGGTATGTGTGCCTCGACTGAACTCATGTCTTGGACTACAGGGGAATGCCAAACTCTGAACACCTCCATAATGCAGGCCCAACCTCATCGTAGGAAGGCTCTGGGAGGCCTGTCTAGACATCTACAGCAAACAGTTTCACATTTTGTAGTCACTTGCATAGGAGTTCTCAGTACCAACAGTGGCCAGATCCCTTTATAAAGTAAAAAGAACATTTAACAAATGAAAATCCAGTCTGAATTCAGAGAAAACAGTATGCAAATCCTATAGTTCAACCACAGTCAGACTATAATTACTGAAGAAACCAATTCAGACTTAAAGACCCAATAAAGGGCATACAACAATGTCATTAGCATACAATACACACCTAAACAGTACTGTGGTCCTAAAACTTTGCTAACAACCATTATGTCTAACATTCTCTGGCTCTGTTCTGAAATTCAATGAAAACCAAGGAATTGTGCACTTTCCCAAGATATGAAGCTGATTTACTACATGCATCACGAATCACATTTTATGTGCTTTGGCAAAAAACTGACAGATGAGGCTGAAGCTCCCAACTTGTACAGAGAATGCTTCATGAGAGTGAACATTCCTAGAAAACCAATTTCACTTTCTCCTCGGAACAGCTATCAGCTCACTGCTGTCTCCACAGGTGCACAGGGAAGTGAGAAGGCCAACACACACGCCTGCATCGGGGAGGAAATGATCACAGCTTTGGCTGAAGTTTCTCTTCAATAAAGCTGAAAACGCTTTGAAAGGTCAACCTTTACTATAAGGAATAACCTCCCTAGGTTCGCTCTGGAGAACAGGCTGGACAAGAAGTCTGTGCCTTCTATGGTGAGGGACTACTTTCTTCAAGATTATCCTAGGAGAATCAGCAATGAGAAGATTCTAAGGACTGAAATACTGTTTCCAAACAAAGCTTTTGCTAAAGCAGGTGTTTGTTAAAACTTTTCACAGGTATGGGGTGTAATTCAGTGATAGAACTCTCATCTACTATGCCGAAGGCCTTGGTACAATTGCCACCTCTCCTCTCCAATGAAACAAAAGCAAAATTTCTCTTTAGTAAGGAAGTGTATACTTGCTCTGGGTATATGTACATAGGTGCACAAGGCTTTGTTTGTCTGCGTGCGTGTGTTTGTGTGCAGGTACACATGAGTGTGTCTGTATGTATCAGGTACGCATGAACATGTTTGCGTATGTGTACTCACACACAGGTGTATGGAAGGTACTGGATAACTCTGCAGATTGTTCCTCAGGCATCGTCTATTCTGCTTTTCTGAAACAGGGTCTCTCTATGGCCAAGAATTCACCAAAGAGGCTAGACTGACTGGCTAGTAAACCCAAGTAGTCACCTGTCTCTGCCTCCCAGCACTAGCATTGCAAATGCAGGTCATTATGCCTGGTTTTTTATTTTGTTTTTGCTCAGGAAGGTTATTTCTGAATTTAAAGTATGCTTTCCATGCAAAAAATCACCTAAGTAGGAGCAATAGGTCTGCCTATAGTCTGTGAATTGGTTTCATGACAAGAAAAAGAGGAGACAGCTATAGACCCGCAGAGGCAAACTGTTAGCTCCTCTATAAGAGAAACTCCATTAGTCTGTCAACAGTTCTCACAAAAACTAACAAGGCCATGTCATTCTGATTATAGGAAAAAAATTAAAATTTTTAAAAAACAAGACCGGTGAGCTTCAAAAAGCTCATTGCTCTAAATCTGAACTAAGGGGTCTTGGCTCAAATTGAAAACGGGAGGAAAATATAAGAAGAGACGTTTTACATTGTCTCACAGAACCGACATGGGACAGAAACTTCACAGATAATGTAGAAGAAGCTACAAGAGGCTATTCAAAAGCAGAAATAAACAACAATCTTACCAAGGTCCGGATCGATAGTAAATGTAAGAAAATAAACTTTAGAGAAGAAATGAGGACATAAAAAAGTATGACTTTGACTATGTCCCCTCGAAGTTCTTATTAGAAGCCAAGACCCAAGGTGACAATCTTATGAGATAGGGTTTGAAGAAGTGACTAGGTCATCAAAGTGCTTGGTGTCCCACAAACAGGATTAGTGCACGTACAAAGCAGACCTTAGACAGTCATGTTCCTTACCTCTTTTACTATAACAAATACGTGAAACCCTTGACCTTGGACTTCTAAGTCTCCAGAAATGCAAGAAATAAATTCCTGGTCTTACTAAGATAACTAACTTATGGTATTGTGCCAAAGCACTCCAAACTAAGGCAGATTCATTTAAAATTAACCCAAAATTTCAAGATAGTCTCTGGGTAAAGATGAAGAGCTTCTGCTTGTTACAAATCATGAAGTTTCTCATTATCCCTTTTCAACATTTTTACCTCTTAAATCTCTTATTGTTACATTACTATGACGAAGTTGCGCCAACAGAAACATACCAATGTGATCCCCAAACTCCAGACATCAGAGCGAACATCATACCCTTGTCGTGATGCACTTGGGTCTATTCTTTCAGGCTGGAATACAAAGAGAAGTCAAAGTCATTTATTATGTGAACCCTAAAGAAGCAGGTTAATGGAAGCAGTAGCTGGAGTGGGAGACAAAAACCTCAGCACCTTCCTAGAAGAATTCATGCCCCAAACCAGGCTGGGAGTAACAGGAAAACACCACTGTGTTAGAAACAAACAACCAACAAAAGACTCCACTGAACTCAATGGCTATGTAAGAAAGACTGTGCTGGCTAGTCGTATGTCAACTCAACACAAGCTAGAGTCGTCAGAGAGAAGGGAGCCTCAGTTGAAAAGAATGCCTTCATAAGATCTGGCTATAAGGCATTTTCTTAATTAGTGATGTGGGGGATGGGGGGAGGGAGAGCCCATTGTGGGTGGTGCCATCCTTGGGCTAGTGATCCTGGTTCCATAAAAAGCATGCTGAGCAAGCCATGAGGGCCAAGTTAGTAAGCAGCACTCCTCCACGGCCTCTGCATCAGCTCCTGCCTCCAGGTTCTAGCCCTATTTGAGTTCCTGCCCTGACTTCCTTAGATGATGAACAGTGGAAGTGAATAAACCTTTCCTCACTTACTTGCTTTTGATCACAGTGTTTCATCATAGCAATAGTAACCCTAACTAAATGGGGACTATATTATGGTCTTTCTGACTTTCTCCCCTAAATAATCAAGGCACTGACAAAGCTGAGGTAAATGTTGGTAAATAGGAAGGAACAGGAGGATTCTGTCAGCCTTTGCTCAATAGTAAGAATGACCAGAAGATACTTGAAACAAAAAAAAAGGCACAGTAGGAACTGTCGTCACTGTATGTCCCACCCTTTAATTCTCCTCAATAAGAATTAAATAGCAATAATAATTTATTACTTGAATTACCTTTATAGATACGTAACTATGAATCATGTAAGAAAAATCAAAGCACAATAGTGTAATATATCATCTTATGAACAGCAAATTAACAAACAAAAACTGTTGGCAATGTCTATAAAGGGAACATTTTATATTTCCTGGAAATTAGGTACCATTTTTATAAAGTGTGTCAGTGGATGCAGAGGAACAGCAAGAGAGTATTTCAGTGGCTTGAAGTTAACAATGGGTTGTTCCTGGAAACTGACAGTAACTGTTACTAAAAGAAGCATCCCAAAGTGTAATAGTTGTACTATACCACTAATTTGGAGATGTATACATTTTAATTTGAAAACAAGTATTGTGCTGCACCAATATTCATTGAAAGCTATCTAAATTTTTTGTTATAAATCTTATTTTACTGAAAATGATACATACTACATAAAAACACTGATTCAACCACAGGAGAAAACAATGTCCTAGGATCACTAATCCACACGATACAGACCTGGTGTTCTGAGGCATGACACACACCTTCTTACATAGAATGGCAACAATGCATAGCACATTCTGAGATGATGAGATAAAATAGAAATCATGAATATCTTTAAGCCCTAACCCTATCTTTGAATATCACCAAATATTTTCAGTGAAAAAGAAACATACTAAGTAATACGTGGATCAAGAGTCTCAAGAAGTAGTAAAATCTATTTTAAACAACACAAAAATGAGATTCCAGTTTAGCATGCCTTGCAGGATGTGGCTAAGTCTTACTCAGAGGGAAATCGTCTACTTAAAGCAAATAATGGAGAAGACGTCCAGATCATAGCCCAGCTGTACAGACGAAGGAACTAGAAAACCAAACATCAAACAAACACAACAACAATAACCACAAAAAGAAATTAGACCTAAGGAACTGAGCACCAGGAAGTAATAAAGACAGTGAGTTGAATGAAATAGGAACTTAGGAGCAGGGAAGAAGATATCTACATTAAGGGAGCCATTTTAGGGTTGGCAAGAGACTTGGCTCTAGAGGGAATCCCAGGTGTCCACGGGGATGTCCCTAGCTAGGTTCTTCGGCAGCAGAGGAGAGGGTGTCTGAACTAGCCTCCCCCACTATCACACTGATGATTATCTCGAATATCACCATAGAATCTTCATCCAGCGATGGATGGAGATAGAGACAGAGACCCTCATCAGAGCAATGGACTGAGCTCCCAGGTCCAGTTGAAGAGCAGAAGGAGGGAGAAGATGAGCAAGGAAGTCAGGACCGCAGGGTTGGTCCACTCACTGAGACAGTGTGCCTGATCTAATGGGAGCTCACCAAATCCAGCTGGACCTGGACTGAACGAGCATGTGATCAAACAGTACTCTCTGAATGTGGCTGCCAATGGGGGTGGACTGAGAAGCCATCCATAATGGCACTGGACCTGTTTCTAACTGCATGTACTGGCTTTTCAGGACCCTAGTCTATTTGGATGCAAAGCTTCCTAGGCCTGGATGTAGGGGGGGAGGGCCTTGGACTTCCCACAGGGCAGGGTACCCTGCCCTCTCGTCAAAGAAATAGAAAGCAACCTACAGTTAATTCCAGAAACAACACTTTCTAATGGAGATGTTCACCCCTGCTATTTCAGCACTGAGCTCTAGCTAGGACAATCAGCAAGGTAGAGGGTGGTACTTTATTCAGAGACATTTAAATGTCTACAATTCTCTCTACACAGAAAATTCCTATTAAAACTACCGGTGGTGCTAAACTAGCAAGGTCACAAAGGCAATGCCAACATGCCCACAGAAGCCAACTACTGGTACTTCCACATAGTAAGAGTAAAGTGTTAAAAAAAAGTTTCATTCCATTTTCAGTAATAGTATCCAAACCCATGAATTCCTTTTTTTTTTTTTTTTTTTTTGAGACAGGGTCTCACCATGCTGTCCTGGAACTTACTATGCAGCCATGCTGCCCTCAAATTCACAGAGATTTACCTGACTCTGCCACTGCCTCCTCAGCACTGGGATTAAATGTAGTATTGCCTACGTAATAAAACAAAATCCTTGACTATTTTATGGTAATGTTATTGTGGTCATGTAAAAGAATATACATATTATAAGAGGGACAATCAAGTGTTTAGAATAAAATGATTCAGCAAACATGCAAGTGCACAACATACACATGCACACACACACGCATTCACCTACTTATATGGGGGGCAGAGAACTTGGTAAACTGTTAACAATTTCCATACAAAACATTATGCAAAAATTCTTTATTTCAGATCTTTTTAATATTCAACAAGTTAAAGAGTAATTCCAGCTTCTCTAGACTGAGTAAAAACTGTAAAAGTCCACTACAAGGGCATTTCTGGTAATTCCAGTACTTGTAAAATGAAGATGGAAGCAGGAAGATCCCAAATTTGGAGCCAGCCTGGGTTTCATAAAACCTTGTCTCAAAAACATAAGCAAAAGGCATTTCTGACATGCAACAATATATCAAGAAGAGTCAAGCTACTTCCAGGCTTTCAAAATTAATGTTCTTGTCCATGTATGTCGGCCTCTGTAAACCAATTGATAGGACTATTTCATTTGATCCAGTCAACATCAGAGCTGCAGAGTTCAGCTGGCCTGTAGGATAAAGTTGTAAGATAGGATAGGACTGTAGGATAAAGCTGTCCCAGAGTTGGATAAAGTCAGGAAGAACAGTGAGACCTTACACTCCTTTTCTTGCTGGGGTCTCAGGACAACATTTCAACACAAGAACAGTGACTCTGTCTTTTGTTAAAAGTTAGATGAATTCAGAATTGTTTGCTGTATCTGGGCCACAGTTACATCTTTAAGACTTGCATGAATCGAAAGGACTTCTTAAGGAATATAACATAGTGCTAATGTTTGAGAATGTTTTGTTCCTAAGTGTTGTGGTGCTAGAGGATTGGTTCCCAAGGTGTCAGTAGCAAGAGAGTCAATCATTTAGACAAAGGGCCTTTAAGAGGTGAGGTCTCTAAGAGCTTAGCTGGTCAAGGGGGGACTCAGAAAGGATTGATGTTGGGCTATTAAGTCAGGTCTCTTAGCAGTGGGTTATTATAAAACAGGGCCCTTTAGCCCTTTCTGCACACAGACAATTCCTTTTCCATTTCTCTGCCGTATTATGGTAAAGCCAAAGGCTCTCACCAGAAACAAATAGATGAGAGCTACTCAATCTTAACTTTCAGCCTCTAAAAACATTCTTTCCTTACAAGTATTCAGTTTTAGGTTTTCTATTACCACAAGAAGGGCAATAAAATCCTACTGTTACAGGGAAAATTGTTCTGGCTAACCTTAGCACTAAACCAGCTCTGAGCCGGGTCATGCTCAGTAATTCTCTGGGCTGTATGGTGACTGAATGTGTCAATTATGGCAGTTACCAAATGTGTCTAATCATTTTTATTTCTTGCCTTTGAATCTGCTGTGTCATTTGTTCCTAATTAACACAAAAAGAGTACTTTCTGAACTGCATTTATCAAGTAACAACATTCACAAAGCTCAGTTCAAAAAAAAAGTCTTTTTATCTATACACACATTTACTTTTTTTTTTTTTTTTTTTTGATTTTTCGAGACAGGGTTTCTCTGTAGCTTTGGAGCCTGTCCTGGAAACTAGCTCTTATAGACCAGGTTGGCCTCGAACTCACAGAGATTTGCCTGCCTCTGCCTCCAGAGTGCTAGGATTAAAGGCGTGTGCCACCATGGTCTGGCTCACTTTTACATTTTTGTTTGTAGAAAAAGTGAATGAAAAAAATCTAATAAATTTAGGTTACTGACAGTGCAACAATTCTATTGACAATATTAAACATTTCATAGGCAATACTTTCCAAACATGGAGCCCATGTATATACAGCAAGAGAACACATGCAAAAAATAGGCAGCATTGTATTTCACATGATCACACACTGAGGTAAGAAACAGAACTGATAGCAAACTGACATCCAAGGGATGAAGAGAAAAAAATGCATTCAAGGTTTTAAATGAATATGAAATCTGAAGAAGCACCAAACCCATCCACCCAGAGCATGCCAGGGAACCTTGAACATCTAGCCTGTGACTATCCTGACTTAAAATTTTTATAGCACTTAAAGAAGCAACCATAGGGCTGGAGAGATGGCTCAGCAGTTAAGAGCATTGCCTGCTCTTCCAAAGGTCCTGAGTTCAATTCCCGGCAACCACATGGTGGCTCACAACCATCTGTAAAGAGGTCTGGTGCCCTCTTCTGGCCTGTAGGAATACACGCAGACAGAATATTGTAAAATAAATAAATAAATAAATAAATAAATAAATGAAGAAGCAACCATAAAGAAAACAAAGGAGGAAAAACTTTCTTCAACTCTTAGCTAATCTTTAATTTAAAAAGGTCCTTGGAGGCATGACAGCTCAATGAGTAAAGGCATTTGTTGAGCGACACTGGCAACCTCAGTTCAACTCTTAGAGTCTAAGTAAAGGTGGAAGGAGAGAACTGATTCCAGAAAAATGACCACAGAAGACATGCCCTTCCAATGATGATGATTTAAAAAGTCTACAATACTGAAACAGACTGACAGAAAAGGCTCAATAAACAACAGCAAACTTTATCATCACTTGTAGGAGCATGCTGTTCTCCTCTAAGGACACTAAAGGACAAAACTGGCACCTAGGGGGAAAAATTAAAATATAGACACCAAACATCAATCAAATGTAGTTCAAACTCTGGGCTGTGGAATAGGCCATGCAAATTCACGGGGATAAGGAAAACGGGGAAGTTCTGAAAGAACAGTGTCCATCAGTCTTCCTGAGGGAAAAGCTGCTTCCTGATTAATGCCCAAGGCCTCTGCATTTACTGCTGTGTTCCATCCATTCTGAAGTAACAAATCACAATTGGTGCACAGTTTCAGACTCTGTAAGACACACTGTATTCTGTCAGGAACTGTCTTCCTGTACTAAGTTACTCTTCTATAACTTGTGACAGCATCCTTAGTGGCCTAGAACAAACATTTCTTAACTGATTCTGATTATCTCTTATGGTCAAGAAGTACAGGAGATAGAAGCAACACAAAGACAAGGATAATTTATCACTTGGTTGACTGGGTGAGTTGAAGAAAATGAAAACAAAAATCAGGAAAGACCATAAATGCTAAATGCCAAACAAGAGGACTAACATGTACATAGCAGTGCACTGAAATAATTGAGCAATTGTAGTAATAAGGGCGGTGGGGCTGCGTCCCCAGCACCCCGGCTGCCTGGCTAGCTTATGCCTGAAATAACAACACAAAAACTGTATTCATTTAATCACTGCTTGGCCCATTTCTATCTAGCCTCTTCTAGGCTAATTCTCACATATTAATTTAGCCCATTTCTAATCATCTGTGTAGCACCCCTAGGTGCGCTTACCGGGAAGATTCTAGCCTATGTCCATCCTGGGTCAGAGCTTCATCGCATGCATCTGCCTGGGAGCTGGGAGCATGGCGTCTCTCTGAGGCATCTGCTCCCGAGAGGAGAGCTGTGGAGTCTGAGCTCACTTCCTCTTCCTCCCAGCGTTCTGTTCTGTTTACTCCTCCCACCTATCTTCTAACCAATGAGGGCCAAGCAGTTTCTTTTTATTTAACCAATGACCTTCCTCCATTAAGCAATGCTTTCAGAAGTTAAAACTTAAGCTTGGAAATGCTTAGGAAGAAAAGTGCTCTAGCACAGTGAAGCTGCATGGGTGAAGGCAAATCCCCTCCACCTAGCACCAAAGGGCACAAGCTCTCTGTGTGATGACTGCCAAGCAAGAGACTTTGCTGCACACTTACTGCCATATACGGTCTACACCCAGCATCTCTTGTCTTGGCGATGGAGTCCACAAGTTGTCCACTGATGCCGAAATCACAGAGCTTAATATTTCCGCTTCTGTCCAGAAGAATATTGGAAGGTTTGATATCTGCAAGAGATACATGCCATCAGTATACAACTTATCAATCAAGCAACTCTAAAGTACTATACTCAAAACTACTGAAATCTGGAGTCCTTAAATTCAGATATACAAGAAACCAACCTTTACTTAGCACATGCAATCATATTTTAAACATACATCAATAACTAAAGTCAAAGATGGTGGCTCATCCCTGTAATCCCAGCACTTAGGACACTGTTGGGGGATGATTAACCAAGAATTTAAGGCCAACCTGGCTACAGAATAAGACCTTGTCCATAAAACTAAAAAGAGACAAGAACTGCAATTTAACAGTCAAACTCCTTTTACCGCTATAATTTAACAAGCCAAAAGACTTTTTCTCTTACCATCTTCACACATATAAAACACAAACAAATCATGGTTTTCAGCAGTCAGAACAAAGAATGAACTTCATCAGATAATATACTAAGCTAACTTTCAAAAGATATCAAGAATTACACAAAAGTATAAAGTAAACCAGTCATGAACCGATAATTTCGTTGAGTATAGCTTCAATTTATGAAATCATTATTTTAAAGGAAAAAATTATTTATTCTCAAAAATGCAGTTATTTCTAAGAGATTTTTTAAGATTAATTTTTATTCGTATGTGTGTGTGTAAGTGTAGGTCAAGAGTGTGAGGAGAGAACCTAAGAGATCAGTAGACATCAGATCCCCTGCAGCTGGAGTTATAGGAGGAGGCTGTGAGTCACGCAGTGTGGGTGCTAGGAACAGAATCTGGTTCCTCTAGAGAGCAGCAAGCTACTGAGCCAATTATCTAGCCCATCTCAGGGTCTTTTGATCTTAAGTGGCTTTCTCCAGTTTCTCCCAACCAACTTTCCCTTGGACTCATTTCTATGACTTTCAGAACTGTTGGCCTTTGTTCGGCATGCAAACGCAAAGCTCCTCCTGACTGATGATAATTACTACCAATATGTCAATGAGCTGACTGCCAAAATTTCCCCTACGCTCTCCAATTCTCTATTTTGATCATAATTCTTCTATCTATTTCATTGTCAATATCACAGAAAATTTAGTAAGTTGAGACATAAAAAACATCTATATATATAACTTGAACAGTCCAGAAAAGCTCCCCTATGATAACAGACCCAGAAGATCACCTCTCAAAAACACCCATTCTTAATCCTCCCACCCTTTCTCGTGGGACCTGCATCATGTCAAGGTTTCTATCCACACTTCCAAAATATGGCTCCTGACTAGTCTCAGCTCCATCAGGGTATGTCTCATGTTCTTAGAGCAGGGGAGAAGTCTAGTGAATGTGACATAAAATACAAAAATGTAAAAAAAAGTTCCTGTTGCTAAAAACACCCATCCAGGGAGTGAGAGTCCTTTCTTCAGGAGACTAGAAGCAATATTGGGAGCTAAGGTGGTCATTAATGCCAGATAATCAAAGATTTTTACAAGCAGGTCATGTTTTAGAGGAATTTCAGTTTATAGTGTAAATTTTAAGTCTCTTTTACAAACACATGCTCTAAAGTGAGAAGAAACATTTCATAGGAGAAACACCAAGGCTTTAAAATGATTAAGTATAGGGGCTGGGAGCATAGCTAAGAGGTAGGGAGCACTTATCCAGAATGCACAAGGACCTGGGTTCAATCCCCAGAAATGGGGAAAAGGCCTAATGGTCCCATCTCGTCAGATTCGTCTTTGAATGTCTTCACAGCCACTCTGATGCTTTGATGGTATCCAGTCATCAATTACACTGAGCAATGAGTGATTTATTTTTAGCCATTCATATTTCCCTTGTATTAATGTTATTGGCACATATGAACTGTACAAATACATTTCATTATCAACAGTAACTATTTCTAACTAAAATCAATAATCTCTAGCAAAATGTAACTTTTAAGCCCAATGTACTTACTAAATGAGATAGAAATTTAAAAAATTCCAGGGGAAGAAAAGCTAATGCTTAGGATACACAGTATTTGGATTTGGTTTTCTCTGTATTTTTTGGTTAGTTGGATTTTTTTATTTTGTTGGCCAGAAACACAAATATTTCATGGAGGTTTATATAGTATTATGGGAGTTTTCATTAAAAAAAATACTTTAACCAATATAAGGAGAAAAAGTTGATTCCAATTCCACAGAAAGCAATCCATACCCACCTCTGTGAATAATTTTCAAGTTTTCTTTTAAGTGGTTTAGTGCTTTCACAGTCTGGGGAGAAAAAAAAAGAGGTGGGATAAAGATCTTGAGTTTTTAATAAAATAGTCCAACAACCTATCACAAGCAATGGCCTCCATAGCCCCCTGTATGCTTTCTCAGCTTAGCATTTCAAATGCTGTCTTTCTGTATTTTGAATGACAATGGCATATAATCTTACATCAGAAAAGTTGCCTCTACATGGTCCTCTCTGACAGTTAAGAAAACAGTAACATGACTTACATAAAGTTGTATTGTTTTTGTACCTCAAACCTGTACAATCATAAAAACCAGTACATGTTTACTATCCATGATGGTGATAATTTTCATAAATCCTCAGTCCCTCACACTTAATCACTATACCCCTGAAGTAAGTTCTGCAGATCCAGCAAATCTGCTCAGTCAGCAATAATTTATTCTGTCCTGGTTCACACTACTCATGATTAGAAATCATAGGCTTCTTCAAAAAGGGAAGCAACAGAGACTTGACAATAGGCCAACACATTTGCTGTTAAAGAAGGAAGGAAGGAAGGAAGGAAGGAAGGAAGGAAGGAAGGTCAAATCTTTATTGTCAGAGGAATTATATGAGGAATGTAGAAAATACCACCTTGTATTAGCTAAGAAACTCTTCCCATGTGTTCATTGGTCTATTAATTAGCAAGAGACTTTTCAGAAGGTAATTTAAAATATGCTTACTATATAAGGTGATCACCTAGTCAGAAAAATACAAACACACATGTCTAAATAAGTTATTCATGTATATACTATATATATTACAATACCTGATAAAAATAATTTTATATTTATTTTCCAAATTTCACAGCTATCCTGTTATATTGTAGTTAAGAGTGGGGTTATGAGTTTGGGCTATGGAGGTTTTGATCATCAACAACTTAAAACTATAAGTACCAAAGCAAATTAATATTTCCATGCTTTCAGATTTACCATCTGTAAAAATAGTATATTACTTACCATAGAGTTACTGAGAAAATTATGTTACAGAATCTTGGCTCAACACAAATAATATTCACTCATCATTAACTACTATCATTATTCTATTATTGCATAATACTATAGTAGTGTTCTACTGTATAGTACTATTTGTATTCTAACACTGTGAAGTGGCAAGTTCTAAGAAAACAATAACTTGTTACAATAAAAGAGTGGCTAAACAATATGAGATTTACATATTCATCTGAGCAATGAATAAGTTTCTAGTACAATTCAGTTTATTTTATAATATGAAAGAATATATATCTTAAAACTTAGCTAACTCATAAAAATTTAAATTTCATCATTAATTTGACAGTGAACAAAAATTTTAACAAAATTATCAATCTGAAAGTAATTTGCTAACTATGGTTTTATCAAAATTTTAAAAGTCTACTAGATACACACATCTTTTACAACTGAAATAGAGTTCAGAAATTGTTTATATTTTTAAATCAGATTCATTAGAAATCATTAAGTTGGCAACTGACAAACTAAATTGGAAAAGAAACTGATTCAAAGAAATCTGAATCAACCATAGTATGATTTAGCTCACAAACCAATTAACTAGACAAGTATTTCTGGCTCAGGTTCTCAGGGGTTCTAATGTCTTATTAATTTTGCTTTATAAAAAAATAAGTTGCCTTTTCCTTTGTAAGATAAATTGTACACATCAACTAAAAGATAAGAGCAAGAAAGTAAATGATCATAAATTCAGTTCTCAAACCACAACACATAATTTGCAAGAGAACCCTTTCATTTTTTGGTCTTCTGGTAAAAGCAAAGTGATCAAATTAATCAAAATGTTGGCTACTAATTGGAAGTCAACATTTTAAATGGCTTAAACTAAATAATAATAATAATCCTCAGTCTTAAACCATAGCAAAACATACCTTATCTAAAAGCTTAATTTAAGAGGCTTCAAAAAAGCTGGGCAGTGGTGGCACATGCCTTAATCCCAGCACTCGGGAGACAGAGACATGCAAATCTTTGTGAGTTCTAGGCCAGCCTAGTCTACTCCAAAGCTACAGAGAAAACTTGTCTTTAAAAGCACCCCCAAAAAGACTTCTGCCACTTTGATTAGCCTAGGAATATAATCTACTTAAGATAGTAAAAACGACAGGAGAAACAAATATAAAATTTCATTTCTAGTTTCATTTAAACTAGTCTGCTACAGCTCTTTGAGATATGGATGCAAACAACACTGCAGTATCCACAGACCAGATTTTGAAAAGTGTTCTTCACACCTATTATGTTAATTATGGCACAGAAGTGACTTTAACTCTTATTCTACTAAAAATGACTTTCTCAGGGAGGCAACAACAATCTGAAAGCGTGTGCATTCACATACACCAGCAACTTCTTCACGCAGTGCACATCAGTGGTGTGATAGTCAGATACTTACTGCTAAAGTGATTTTGCCTAAGATCTCTTCCGGAATAACGTCATCTAACACACTATATACATATTTGTAAAACTTATCGAACGAGGTAGACATGAGCTCCATACAGATCCAACAGTCGCCCTGTAAAACAACAGATGCTCGTCACCACTAAAATTCTAATATTAAGCAGTGGCCTCCTCTAGTTAGGACAGAAACAGAATTAAGAAGACACCTTTCTCTGCTTTTACACTGTACCTCCAACTCATAATCATTTTTAATACATCATTAAGGATCTGGGAAAGATATCCTACCTGAGTTTAAGGATAACTATGTAGATAAAGCCTGTTTTATCCACTGATTGCTTTTTATTAATTTATTCATTTTTTAAAGTATGTTTGTGTGTGTGAGAGAGTGCAGTACCCTTGGAAGCCAAGAGAGAGTGCCAACTCCCCTGGGACTAGGACTACAGACAAGTGAGTGCTGGAAATGGAACCCAGGTTCTCTACAAGAGCAGTCAGTGCTTTTTAATGGCTGAGCCATCTCTTCAGCCTTATTTTTCCCCACTCTTAACTTACACAAAAAACTTTTGTGCTTTGATAAAAATTTCAAATTTTGTCATAACTGAGCCTAAAATTAGAAAAGATATGGAAAACTATCCTTTCTCCTTGACAAGAAAGTTTATCTTGAGAAACTAGCAGAGCTTCTCAAATTAGAAAAACAAAATGAACAGTAAAGACACCTTGTTCAGACCAGAAGCCTTCTTGGTGAGGTGCATCAGCTTGCTCGGGGTTCCTTTTCCCCTGTCTGCCCCACACAGAGTGTACACTGTCTAATACAGTACAACTGCTCATTTATTATGTTTGTCTTCAGAAAATCAATACTGGCAAAAATTAAGACAGTGGAGGAAAACAATTTTATCATAGAGACACAGGAAAAAGTCCCTGCTTTCTTGCAGTCACTGTGATCTGATAACAGTACAAATAGTGTTCTAGTGATAAACAATCCCAAAGTTTCAAATTGTGTGTTTATGTGCATAGGTGAGAACATGCTGTGCTGTTCTACCCCATTCCACCAGTGAAGGGAGTCAGCGTTTTAACCTATGTAACTATTCTTTCTATAGGACCTAGTATATATGTAGCCATGTTTCTATAAAAGCCAGTTATGAGATCAACTGTCACAATATTTCAGTGTTCTGCTTCAGGTATTCCTAGGGTATTCTAATTGTCACACCTTAGTGATTGGTATAATTATGATTATCACTTACTGTGCCATTATTACATTGAATATTTTCACAGGTATATGTGCAAGAAAAAACAATGTAAGAGTTTGGTAATATCAGGTCTCAGGCATCCACAGGATACCTTGGGATGAACCTTCTGCAAGTAGCCATACTGATATTTATAAAATCACCGCCCAAATAGGAGTATATCTTTAATATTCTGTAATCTACAGAAAGAAATAACAAAAACTAGAAAACACTAAACAGCTCAAAAAGAGAATGGTGTACAACACTGAAGACTACTGTGGTCACCAAGGTAGGCAGGGAAGATATGAGAAAGTGCGGGCCCTTAGCAGTTAAGGAACTAGCACCTGTGTCCATCTGAACAGGGTAAGCACTGACCAAAGTAGAAAAGCTACCATCAGAGATAATGCCGAAAACCATCTTCAACAACTTTTATGCTGATGCTAATTTATGGATACAGTTGTACTTTCAGAGACTTTGTACACAGTAACCTCTTATATCTCAAGCCTGTTCTAGATAGAGGAAGTGAATGCCCTTGTGACTGAGCTGAGTAGAAAGCAGCTTCCCTGAGTCTTTTCTTCAGTTAGGCCCCACAGCACAAGCATATCCAGCTCACAAGTGTGAAGAGCATACTGAAGAACACTGAGAGGAGTAACAGGACTAGAACATTTATGTCACTAAATGACTGAGGAACATATTTTTAAAACATATTTGACATAATGAACTTTTCTATTTCCTGTCTTCTCAATGTTACACCTTTCTACAAGGTTCTCACAGGAAAACCAAAACTCTCCACCAAAAACACACACTCAACTTTATTTTAATATAACGACACTTCTCAGTGGATTTACTACAGCTTCCTTTTAGAGGAAACTACAGTGCACTCATACCACCAGTAGCAAGTAAGTAAGTTCAAGGGTAGAAAGATCCCTCCTGTTGAGAGCCTGGGAGGCCTGATATTTTCTGTTTATATAGGCCTGGGTTTTTCCCTTCTCATCTATGAAATGAGACTGTCCACCACCCTCTGTAGACTAGAGTAAAGGTTATGTGAGTTCACACAGCTAAAACATAAAACGCCTTGCATGTGCTAAAAGCTACAGTTACTGTGGATGAGAATGGGGGTCAGAGCAGTCCAACAAAGAGGAACTCGAGAGGAAACATCCTTGCAGTTTCTAAGGTGTACAACAAAGTTCTATCTCTCTTGACACCTCCTTTAGCTAAAAACAGACAAAAGCCTTGAGCCATGCTTGAAGAAGGAAAAGGAAGGAACCGAGAGAAAGAGGAGTGACAGTAACAACACTGTCATATTCAAACCATGCCGGGAACACAAAACAAGAAATTCCTGAATGTGTATTTACAGGGAAACAAAGGTAAAAGATGATGAGATACTGAATTAACAAGATAAGGTTCCTGAAGATAAAATCTAGATAAACTCAACGATATACTCACACAGCAACAATAACCACTTAGAAAATAAAATATTTGTTACAGACATCATTCATAACAAAAATTAAAACAATAAGGCACAAAGGAATGGATCTAATGAGAGAGGAAAAAGACTTACAAAACAACCAACTATAAAATGTTGCCAAAAGACCATAACAATTTAAACAAATGAAGACCCCACTACAGATAAAATGAACTTAATAGGTATCTCTAGAATCATCCATACAACAGCTATGAAATCTGAGCGGCTCAGGGAACCTTCCTTATGATAGAACATGTTCTAATTCACAAAGCAAGTGTTCACAAAACAAACAAGAAAAAAAATCAATTTTAAGGTCTTAGACCTTATCAAATCAGTAGAAAAACACTATAAACTATCAATAACCAGAAAACCCACAAAATGAAACAAACACTCAAGAGACTGAACAATACTCTCCAGAATGAACAACGTACCAATGAAGAAATCAGGAAGGAAACCAGATGCTTTTCATAACTAAATGAAAATGGAAGCGGTCTGCCAGAACTTCAGTATACACCTACTGTTCTTCTAAGAGGAAAATACATAGCTATGAGTAGTTAGTTACACTAAAAGAAAAATAAAAGCAATCACAAATAAGTGGCCTAATACATTCCAAGGTCTTATAAAAACAAAAACATTGATCAATGCATAATGAATGTCAAGGTAAAAAAAATACTAAAAGAATAAAAGAATTATACACAGAAGCAATCAAAGAAAAAGTTGGTTCTGTCTGGTATGGTGGCCACACCATTAACACTAACACTCAGGAAGCCAAGGCAGACAAATCTCTAAGTTTGAGGTCAGCCTGGTCTACAGAGTGAATTTCAGGCCAGCCAGGGCTACATAGACAGAACTTGTCTGAGAGAGACAGTGAGACAAAGGCACTCACACACACACACAAAGGCTGGTTCTCTAATAAACAAAACTGATAGACCCCCCCCGCGTCAATCTAACTAAATAGAGAAAAATTAAAATTTAATCGAGTTGGAAATGAGTATAGTACAACATATGCCAACGATAGAGAATCACTAAGAATTGGTTTGAAAATATGTATGTATGTACATATAGTTGTTTTTGTTTTTTGAGACAGGGTTTCTCTGCGTCATGAACCAGAGAATGAACTGTAAGTCGAATGTGACTATATACTTTCAAAGCTTGTCCCCAGTGCCATACTTCCTCCAGGAAGGCCATAGCTCCTAAAACTCTCCAAACAGTGCCATCAACTGCAATTAGGGACCCAACTGCAACGGGAGACCAAGTGTCAAGTGCCTGAGCCTATGGGGGACATTTCTATTCAAGCCACCTCATATAATAAAATAATACAGCACATTAGTAAAACTCAAAGAGAAAAATCACATGATCATCTCAATAGATTCAGACAAGGCTTTTGACAAAGTGCAATATTCCTTCAGGCTGAAGGTCCTAAAGAAACTGAGATTAGAAGCACATATAGCTTAGCCCAATATAGGGCATAAAGAACAAGTTTATAGTCAAGATTATTGTGAATTAAGAGAACTGAATGCATTACTCTAACATCAGAAAAGAAACAAGGAAGTCCACTCTCATTTGATGCTAAAAGTCTTAGCTAGAGCAAGGAGACTAAGAAAGAAATTTTAAAGGCTACAAATAATAAAGGAAGAAGTCAAACAATCCATTTACAGATGACATAATCCTTTTTTACTACTGTGTAGCCCTGGTTGCCCTAAAACTCAACTTGTAGACCAGACTGGTCTTGAACTCAAAGAGATGGACCAGCCTCTGCCTCCCAAGTGCTGAAATTAAAGCTGTGCACCATCATGCCTGGCTGACATGATCCTATTTTTGAAAGACCCTAAAGACTCCATCAGAAAACTCTAGATTTGATAACCACAGTAAAGTAGCTGTGGTAGTTTTAATGAGAATGGTCCCCATAAACTCAGATATTTGAATACTTGGTCCCTAGTTAGTGGAATTATTTGAGAAGAATTAGGAGGTATGACCTTGTTGGAAAAAGTGTTGTCACTGGGAGTGGGTTTTGAGGTTTCAAAAGCCCATACCATTCCCAGGTGACTCTCTCCAACTCCTGCTTGCTGCCATGCTCCTTACAATGATGGTCATGGACTCTAAACCTCTGAAACTGCGAGCTCAATAAACTCTGTCTTCTTTAAGTTGCCTTGGTCATGGTGTCTCTTCACAGCAATAGAAAAGTAACTAAGACATAAACTGTTTTTTATATCTACTATGAATATAAAACTCAGTAGCCTTTTCATATACCAGCAATGAACTTTCCCAGAAAGGGATTGGAGGACAAAAAGAAAACAAACAAAAACAAAACAAAACCCTCATGCATCAATTTCAAAAAGTAAATAATAAAATACCTAGCACAACCCTAACAAAGAGGATAAAACTGTAAAGCCTGGAAAAAGGAAATTGAAGAATAGACTAGCGGGGCGG